AAGAATTGTCTGCTGTGCGATCCATTTGTCCCATGACTGAGGCTCATAATAATTATGCACTCTCTCTTCAAGCAAGCAGAGGGAAGAGAGACAGCTTGAAAGAGGCCATCTGTGTGAGTGTGAAAATCCAGAACGAGTTAATGCTGATGTCCAAAAGTCAGTCCACTTGTAACTCGAAAACATTTGCCCGAAACATGGCCTCGCCTTCTGAGCTTATCACCTCCTCGGTCAATGCCACGGAACCAACCAGCACTGGCGCTTTAGCAATACATGGAGCCAGCCCTGTGCTGTCAGGGTTTATCTGTGGGGCTTGGCTGTATGCGTGCGTGCATACGTGCGTGCGTGCGTGCGTGTGTGCGTGCCTGACTTCACGTTTTCTGTTGCAGTGCCGCCGGAGAGTGTGCAGATCGTGAGCTCGGCTGGTGACGTCTCCGATACGGTGGTTGGAGCCTTCGAGGAGGGTCAGCCACTGAAGCTCACATGCCGGGTCAAAGGAGGTCAGTGTAGAGCGCGGGTTTGCACTCCATCGGGATCAGTAAGGAGGCAGTCACGCGGTCCTCAGAACACGCGCGGATATCATATTCAGTGGCGGTGGGCGCCATCGTGTGCGTTTGTGACGCGGTGAATCTACACGTACTTAGGCCGGGCGTAATGAACATCGTGATAATTCAGTACCCTCAGACTGAAATCGGTGCATTTCTCTTGCATCGGGATCTAAATAGGACGCATATTTATGATGCGTTGTGATGCATTTATGCGTGTAAGATGCATATTCGTCCCAAAATACGAGCTTTGTAGCTTCGGAACATTTTAAGCACAGAAGGTTTGACGTTTAGAGCAAGCAGCTCTGATCTTGGGCGTTGTGGAGTCTATAACGCGTCATATCGTCCAAGTGCTTCTATTGGTTCCATAATTGCTTATAGAATGCTCAGTGTTATTGCAATGATTCCAGGTAAATGCAAATATTGCGAGTCGTGCCAGGGTTCGCAATGTAAGCATTGTATGTACACTGTGCCTCGGGTGATCTCCTGTTTACACGCCTCAACGGCCTTCAGTTTTTCACCCATCTGCACTTTTCCAGTCGCGTTACTTACAAAAGGGATGCCAGCAATCCATGTAGTCTGGTGGCCCGCTGATTAGAACCGTACATGTACACCCTGCATCGGACATCCCCGCCTATCTCTGGATTCTCACAAAGCCTTGCTTCACCAAGCGTTTCCTCCAGCCACACTCAGCCAAAAGCTGTCCCAGGGTGCTGATGCAGCCGGAGCACGGCACGAGGTCACGTCCGTGGCGCGTTATCCCACTTCTTACCCCTCTTTTTAATCCAGTAGCGCCGAAGTGAATCTTACCCCACCAGACGAAGGCAGAACATAATATTCTGGTCCTTGGCTACCGGTTATAAAAGTGTGACAGATTTCCTATGCTGAAAAAACAATCTTCAGCGTCATGATATAGCAATCATTCTAGTTATACCAATCAATAGCTAATCCATTTGTTATATAGCAATCATTGGGATATACTCTGAGAACTCTCTTTCTTATTTATATTTCAGAACAGTCCATATTATTGCTTGTTTCCCGTTTGTGATAAGTACCCCCTTGTATACAAAAAGTTAATTGTTTTCGGGTGTTGGCCTTAATGTTGAAAAACGAAGAGACATTTCTTGAAAACGAGGGTGGAAGAGGAAGGCCTTTCTCACCAATAGCAAATACGAATGTCACCAAACCCTCTCAATCGCGATTTATCTTTCAGATTTGTAAGGTTTTATTTTAAAGATTACCTTTGAGGTAACTTTTAGATTTCTTTCTTGCGTCAAATGTTTCAGTTCACAGGGTCTTGGTCGAAGACAAAGCGTAAAAGGTGCCGTCTTCTAGGTGTTTGAGAGTTGTTGCTGTTGCAAACTTGCTGTTGGAAATCAGGACGGTCCTTTCGTTTTACACAATCATAGAATTAGAAGGCTTTTTGGTTGTCACCATCCTTTAAATGTTATTCTCTGCTTGATTTGACCTACACGGAGTTTGTGTTGGCATGATGACAAGCGAAACAGATTCAGCCAGGCGTCGCCTGGCTTGGACGCCGCGGAGAATACGCCGACGGTTGCGAAATGGCACGCAGGCGTTATTCGATTCAAACAAATTCACACCGCTGGTGGCTTTGCTTGTTGTTTCAAATCAATGCAGGCCAACATCTGCGTATACATAGCTTACATCAGGGGATCGCATAATAAGTAATAATAAGTTAAGCCTTGCATAACATCCGGCGGCTGGGGCTGCTGTCTGCATTGTCTTAAGTGCTAAGCACTGGTATAAGCCAGCGAACGACAGTATAAATTATTATTGTAATTGCCTGGCTGTCCACGAGAAGGGCCGAGCCCCGACATTTCCGTTGTCGCCCGACCTGTGTAAGCACACCCAATGGCATGGGCAGACGCAGATAGTGGCTTTCAGAGGCACGTCCCCCTCCCTTAACCAAATACCTGGCATGTGTTTAATTTCCGCGACCTGATGTTGACAGAAATTCCAGATAGACACGTACCATAGGAAGGTCGAGAACATGTAATGTTGTTTTGCGACGTACGAGGTGCGGCACACCAAGCACGCTTTCAGTGAAAATTTAGCTGTCTCCTCTATTCTGAAATCATGCGTGATTCCCAGCCCAATGGTACACGAACGCAAAAAGCCTTCCGGTTCGGCCGTCACGATTAATGTTCATCCATCGGTTCTAATCATTATAGTGATTGTCTAACAGTAGCCATACTTTCCATAGCAATGAACGAAAATTTGGGAGTGCATGAGAGGTGTGATGAGCGTGAGGAGCCGCCGCCAAATACTATTGTAGATAAACTCAGCTCGCTTTGAAAGTAAGGTCCAGACGTGCTATTTTGGAGCAAATTATTTTGCCTAAACAATTACATGCCTAAAATTACGATGGTTATGACACTGCGTCTTAAACATTTTTAGGAAAATTTAAGGACTGAGACGGTCTGACCTACGTCCATTACGATAAAGGATCAAGGGCAGCCATAGCGGAGCTGAAACCTGTATAGGGTTATTTGGACGAGGCACACTGATATTTTGAGTTCATTCTTTCTACACAGCTCCGACAATGTGAATGTTTAGAAGCATGTCGAGCACGCGGACAATGAAAATATGAAGATAGGGTACACAAATTTGGAAACTTCACGCAATATCTATAAGCAGACAAGAACATTAAACCTGAACAAAAATGGAAACAGGGGGCTTATCTGGGAGAAGCGCGGAGCACGATCGCGAGTTTTCACACGTCAGTGGTGGCGCTGCCAGCTAAGCGAATGACATATTCCCGCGTCACTGCCAGCGCGGCTGCGCAGGCTGCGCCGCGCTACGGCAGCGGCCGTGACATCATCCAATAACAGCTCACCGGAGCCGTGGGTGGCCAAACTGGCCCGCGCGCATCAGCGCCGGTCACGTGGAAGCGCACGGGACATAAGCTAATTCACTCGACAGATCACGAGCGGCCGGCGGACGGGTGACGGCCGGTGCGGCCGCGTGCCGCCGGCCGCCTGTCCGGATAATGCGTCCATCGATTCCGCGGCGCAGACTTGCCCTGGTCCGGTTCGCCGGCTCCCTGGTGGCGCGGAAACCGGCCTTCTAATTGTCCGGAGCAGTGCGGGCTCCTTATTTTCTGGTCCGTGGGGACATCTCATTCTGTCCGGTTCAATGAGCCTTTGGCGGCCTTGCCGATGGCGTCCACGGTGGTTCAGGACGTGGTCCCTGATGGTCGGTCGATAATGTCCCTGGCAGCCCGGTCGTTGGGGAATGAAGTGCAGACCAGTGGCACTTGTTCAGCCTATAGGATTCCCTAAGGCTCAGTCCGCGCATCAGCCACCGTGGGGTTGCCTGCTGGAGTGGAGGTTCAGTCCGCGCACCAACCTACGTGGGGTTCCGTTCGCCTGCCGGAGTGGAGGTTCAGTCCGCGCATCAACCACCGTGGGGTTCCGTTCGCTTGCTGGAGTGGAGGTTCAGTCTGCGCATCAGCCACTGTGGGGTTGCCCGCCGGAGTGGAGGTTCAGTCTGCGCATCAGCCACCGTGGGGTTGCCTGCCGGAGTGGAGGTTCAGTCCGCGCATCAACCAACGTGGGGTTCCGTTCGCTTGCCGGAGTGGAGGTTCAGTCCGCGCATCAGCCACCATGGAGTTCCGTTTGCCTGCCAGAGTGGAGGTTCATTCCGCGCATCAACCACCATGGGGTTCCGTTCGCCTGCCAGAGTGGAGGTTCATTCCGTGCATCAACCATTGTGCGGTTTTGGTCGGCCTGCCGGAGTGGAAGGATGCGGAGCGTCTGACGGCTGCACAGGCTCTTTTGACGCCCACGCGGCTGGCGGGCATGGAATGTCTGCTCCATTGTGACGCGGCAGGCTGGAGGAAACAGAGTGGCTCTTCTTCCAGCACACGCAACCCATGGCATATCGCACCGTTCGCGGCAGACAGGTTTGAACATCGGCCGCGTTGTGGCTAGGACGTCATCGGCCGAGTGTTTGTCTGCTTGTCTGGGTCGAAGCCGCGCTGTCTTGTTTTCTTGTTCTCACCGGCCGCAGCGCCGCACTGCGGCCGTTTTGCCGGGCCATAAATGCACATCAGAACAAATCTTGTTCGCGGTCACGTACCAACAAGCGCGTCGGGCGCGAAAGAAAGCCTAGGACGTAATGAGCGAATCGTGACCGGACTAGGCCTGTGATCACCGGGCAATTGTTTCCTTCTTCGCCGCATGTAGAAGCGGACGAAAATGTGCCACTCGGAGCGTTTTGTCACAGGACGTTTTTTGTGTGGGAGTGGAATAGATCCCCTTGTAAGGGTGTGCAAGTAATCAAGCGGAGAATAGCATTTAAGGGATAGCGGCAACCAAAAAGCCTTCTAATTCTATGCTTGTATAAAACGAGAGGACCGTCCAGATTTCCAACAGCAAGTTTGCAGCAACAAATCTCAAACATCTGGAAGACGGCAGCTTTTACGTTCTGTCTCTGACCAAGACGCTGTGAACTGAAACAATTGACGCAGGAAATAAATATAAAAGCTCCCTCAAAGACAAACTTTGAAATAAACCGCACAGAGCTGGAAGATAAATCGTGATTGAGAGGGTTTGGGGACATTTGTATTTGCTATTGGTGAGAAGGTTCTTCCTCTCCCACCTTCGTTTTCAAAAGAGATCTCTTCATTTTTCAACACTGAGGCCAACACCCAAAAACAACTGGCCTTGAGTATGCAAGGAGCTACTTATTGCAGACGGGAGCTTTGCACCTAAGGGTTCTGGCGGTTTTATTTCGATTTCGCCATGTCAGCGGCTTACCCACGAAGTCAGACTTTTGCCCACGAATAATGTGCGAAAGGAAGGTGCGTGGTAATTAGTGAGGATTCGCTGCAGTCAGTGGAGGTATCGTGTGCCTTATGAGGTAATTAGGTTAGGCGGTTTCTCAATCAAGATTTCGCTGATATCCGTGATGTTTGACAATAAGGAATCGCAAAACCATTATCAACGAATTAAACCATGTAGTGTCCACTGCAGGATGGTGACTGAGGTGGAACATTTTCCTGTATCATTTGATGAAGTGAATAGATGATTGTCACGCCAAATATTTTATGTAATTGGAGATACGGACCTCGCGGCATACTCTTAATGCGATTCATACAATAATATTTTAGAGTTTAGCGCATACCTTTAACTGGCTGCTTCGAAGAATATACATCAGCATTCGGCTGTTATTTCCATACATATCACGTGCAGTGTTTTCAATGACCAACCACTCGACAGTACATTAAACGTTTGATTTGATTGAATAACACACACAACAATCAATATCAGTTGCATGCCCAACAATTTACAGGATGTGAGAGATTGAAGCCGCTTGAAGGTAGTTGCACTTATGATGTCATTTCATGTCACAGCGTTGCGGACTATGCAACAACAAAAGCTATCATGAGTTTACAGAATGCTTATCAACAGATATAACAGGATGAAATCACAAATGAGAAACCAAGACGAAGCTTATAGTGTCTAGAAATTATTTTTTGCTATATTAACGTTATGTTTTGCTCAGAAATAATTGGACCAGAAAATTTTGAGAGAACCTACCCGCTAAGTCGCGTTGTATGTCATTACATTGTTCTGTTGTTATTTCAAAACATTAACCTCCACTCGTCTGATCGTGCCGTGAAATCTCGCAACGTCCACAGCATGCCGCGCATCAATCAATGCATCTGCTGGCGCCTGCGTCCACGCTGACCGACCGTCGACAATTTCAGGCTTTCCTCGTCCGCGCGTGGTGTGGAAATCCAGCCAGGCGACCCTCCCCAGTTCATCTCGCGTGGAGGGAGATGACGTCATCAGTGAGTTCACCATTGCTGCCCTGAGCCGGAGTGACCTGCACCGGATGCTGACCTGCCTAGCGACCAACACCAACCTGACCGCCCCGGCTACCAACTCCGTCATGATTGACATGAACTGTAAGTAAAGCCCGATCAGCCGGGCTCCAAAGTAGCACGAAGCTGTTAATCAAGTAAAACGTCCTGATTAATCAGTGGGAACACATGTTCTCAGGCGTGCTTCATTTACCAGGACACTCGAAATAGGTGGTGCCTACAACTGCTTTGGTCGGTGGTGGATGGCGTTAAGTGATAGCCACTTACCTGCCACGTAAAATCTTTAACACCCTGCTAAGTTCCAAGCTCCATTAACTTGAGATAAGTGGCTCAAGTGCAGAAGCTTCCTGCATCGTGCCGTGGCTAATACCGTCGGCTGTACATCCGACGGGCGGGTCGGGTTTCCACTTAAAAGACGCGAGGGAGCACACTTTCATTGTTCAGCATCCAGATTAGCCGAAACGATGCGAGCATTCTTTTTCAGGAGTGGTTTTGCTCCTACTCAGTCTTTGTTAATGGTGAAGAGTGTGTAAGAGGTTGTACTCTAGGAATGGAGATAATTCAACTTCTGCAGTAACCAATGCACCCGCGATTTATGGCAAACGAGCTCGCCATTTCATAGGGCTATCAAGCTTCCGATTTGTTCAACTGACATCCCGTTTACCAGAAGGGTTTGAGATGTACTGCAGGAGTTTCTGCCTTGTTGGCATGGTTACTGCAGTAGCTCAAAAATGTATAAACGGAGCGCTTTACGAGCGACATTTGCATCGCAGTATCATTAATACTTGCCCATGTTATAATTTGTTTACTTCGTTATTGGTGCCGCGACTCAGCACGCTTTGTTCAGCGACGTGGGGCATTGAAAGTTGAGGATAAGTTGGCAAGATGCCCCGATCGAGGTGCAGATTGACCTATCATTTTTTTTCACAGTTCACAGTTTTTTCAGTTTTCACAGTTCAACCAATTCCTAATATTAATATTGGTTGCTGGAAATGAATGATAGCCAATGATATAGGCAATGGGAGACAATGACAAGTGAGTAGTGAGGTGGTGTAGAAAAACTAGGCAACGAAGAGGAAGTGGGTACAAGTTTCTTTGCCATCTCCAAGAAGTTTACTTCAAATAACAGGAGGTTTTGTGGGATGACACCCCAATTGTCACAAGGGGCTAGTGAAATATTGGCATTTGGTTGTCTCTGAGGATAATGCTGACTATTTGCTGATGGTAGCACCCTTACTGTAACAGGAAAGCTCAGGAAGTGAGTCATTATGCAGTGCTTATTCGCATGCATATGATCTTTGCACCTGCGAGTGTGATAACTGCATTGACTGCAAATGTGATGCATTTTCCTCGTTTTTTTTTAGCTAACATTGAAGCGAAAATTGTCCTGATGGAACGCTAAATATGATCACCGCATGCATAACGTGCAGGTTCTAAAGGCAGACAGCATATCTTATATGCAGCCTGCATTCACAGTGGAACTCAGTGTAGTTTGTCTGGTGATGGAATAATGACAGGAGTGTCAATTTTTAGTCATGATTAGTGGGAGGTAGCAACTCATGCGCCTCACAATCTGTCCTCCCGTCAGTTTTTAGTCATGATTAGTGGGAGGTAGCAACTCATGCACCTCACAATCTGTCCTCCCGTCAGTTTTTAGTCATGATTAGTGGGAGGTAGCAACTCATGCGCCTCACAATCTGTCCTCCCGTCAGTTTTTAGTCATGATTAGTGGGTAGCAACTCATGCACCTCACAATCTGTCCTCCCGTCAGTTTTTTAGTTGATTAGTGGGACGTAGCAACTCATGCACCTCACAATCTGTCCTCCCGTCAGTTTTTAGATATGATTAGTGGGACGTAGCAACTCATGCACCTCACAATCTGTCCTCCCGTCAGTTTTTAGTCATGATTAGTGGGACGTAGCAACTCATGCACCTCACAATCTGTCCTCCCGTCAGTTTTTTGTCATGATTAGTGGGACGTAGCAACTCATGCACCTCACAATCTGTCCTCCCGTCAGTTTTTAGTCATGATTAGTGGGAGGTAGCAACTCATGCACCTCACAATCTGTCCTCCCGTCAGTTTTTAGTCATGATTAGTGGGACGTAGCAACTCATGCACCTCACAATCTGTCCTCCCGTCAGTTTTCAGTCATGATTAGTGGGAGGTAGCAACTCATGCACCCTCACATCTGTCCTCCCGGTCGTTTTTAGTCATGATTAGTGGGACGTAGCAACTCATGCACCTCACAATCTGTCCTCCCGTCAGTTTTTAGTCATGATTAGTGGGAGGTAGCAACTCATGCGCCTCACAATCTGTCCTCCCGTCAGTTTTTAGTCATGATTAGTGAGAGGTAGCAACTCGTGCACCTCACAATCTGTCCTCCCTGAAATGTGGTTGTCAGCAGATTTAGTCTGCTTTGTTTTGAGTGCAGGCAATTTCTATTCTTAACTGTTTTGCTTTATTTGAAAAAGCAAATTATTTGAGCATTATAATGACCAGTCAGTGAATAAAACCGAGAAAAAATAGGTATTTTGTTTAAGTTAGCTTTTCCTACATATTTTTGTAATCGTCCAGCTAAAAGTATTGTATGGGGAAACCAGTATTGGGGGAGGGACTCAACCGGGGGTGGGGTAAGATCCCAATAATTGATTCGAGTTGGCACTTCTGCATTGCGCATCACAGGTAAGATTGGATTGGCATCCGACACAGCATGCAAAGGCAGGTTTGGCTTGCTGATTCAATTTCTACCAATGCATCAATGTTGGTAACGAAATGTGTCATTTCATTGAACCAGCTGATTTTTTCATTATCTGAAATCCAGGCTGTTACATGAGCATACGTAAATTACCTAAAGAATAGTGGCTCAATTTTATCTCTTTCCGTGATTTTCCGGTTTTCATAACGCAGACAGATAAAAAGGGGCGGGGGCGATCCCTGCCTACTGCAAACTATGAAAGTTAGATCCTTGCCTAAAAAAGCAGTGAATTGCCAACGAGATCCTATGATTAGTAGGCAGTCTCATTTTGTTAACTCACCTCGGTAGGCCAAGTACGCAGACAATTTTTTTCTGTAACTCAAGCTATTTCAGTTTTGTCTGGTAATATATATGAAATAATGCAGCATAGACATGAAACATAAATAGGAGCATTCCTTGTTTAGGTACGAGTGCAATATGATGTGTAGTGTGATCTGTTTTCAGTCTGCGTTTAGTATCTAGGGCTTCATCAATATAACAGTGTAAGCCCTCTGCACGTAGCCCGCAGAATCGTCGCTTGCCAGGCCCGCTGGCCGTAGACCGTCTCGCAGTACTCGTAGAAAACCACCACTAATTCGAAATAAAAATGCTAGGCACAGTTTTTGCGGTCACCACACGCGCAAGTGATGCCCCGCTGGGTACCAAAGATAGCACAGCTGCACAATATGCGGGACTGGTACCCTAAAAAAACCTTGGGGAAGGGGTGTCGCATCCCTCCTTCCCTCCTGTCAGAACGAGTATGTTGTCCGTGGAGAACCAGCAGCCCGTTGTGAAGGTTTTACAAGATTCACTACAATTAACTTGTCGGCGCACGGCGGAAGACTCCCACCAGGCAACACATCTTGCGGCAGGCTTGGGGCATGCCTAAGGGAAGGTTTAGAGTTTCATGACTGTTGAAGTGGGGTTCGAAGCGCACAATTGAGTTTCATGAGGAGGCATGGCCTGGAGGAGGCCCGCATATTGGACGTCACCCCCAGTGCTTCCTGCCACCGGTTTGAATTATGCCATCCTACTCAGCTTCCCCGGCTGCCGAGGTCTTTCGTTGTTATTTTTGCAGTAAAGAAAAAGAATCCAGCCGTAGATCGAGTTTAAACGTGAGGTTCCGGCATATCCCGAGGGGGAACCAGACTGCTTTTGTGATTGGGCTATCCCATAGTCTAGCGCCGGTGTGCCCGCTTCATAGTAGCAGCAGTTATCCTGATATTAGTTGAAAGACATTGCATAAATGAGCGTTTTGGTGGATGCATAATATTGAAATTGCGGTGATGAAAGAGGCTCTCGGTGATAGGTTGATTCCTGATGGGGCTACT